ATTTTGCCCCTAGAATGATTTCAATAGCACAGTCTGTGGGTCAAATGAGGAGGGAGTTCATCCATCCTCTGTTCACTCAATGCTTCAGCCAAATCTCTGTATTCCATTAGAAGGCTTTGCAAGTCTGACTCACTGAGGGTGGAGGCAAAATACACATCTCCTTCTTTAGGGATGTGTGGGGCTCCCTATGGGAATCTCAACTGTCCTTCCCTCCAGTTGATTATGGCGTTCCATTTCTTTAATCAAGCTAGCCCCAAAACTAACAGCCATTCCATGCCCGGAGCCACAATAAATGCTAAAGTCTCTGTGTGGCCACCCAGGTCGATGTGTAATGATCTGGTAACAAAACTGACAGGCATCCCCCCCCGACTGAACCGTCCAGTTGGCAAAAAGTGATTGGGGTTTTTAGTCTCCTGAGGGGAATTCCCATTTTCCCCACCAATTCTGGGCTATTCATACAACAGGTGCACCCCAAGTCCAGTAAGGCTGCTAATTTCACTGTCTTCCCAGTGCCTGGTATGAACAGTTCTAGGGGCTCTGTAAAGGGGTCTATTGGTGCACTCACCAAAGGGTCGTCATTCTTGTAGTCATCTTCCACCACTCCTGGATCATTGTGGCGTGCACCCAGAGCTCGACCCTCTTGATTGCAATCCTAGGGGAGCTCTATGGTTTCCTCAGATCTCATAGCAGTCTCCCTTGGGCGTGATGGGGTTCTTGAAGGTCTCCCGGCTGGCAGACGATCTCCTCTCTTGACAGGTGTCTTGCTGTAGCATGTCGTGATTCTGTGCCAGCCTGTGATCCTGACAGCTGAGTCTGGGAAATCTGAGGAGGAGGAGGAGGAGGAGGGGCCTGGGGAGCCATCGGAGTCGGGGGAAAGGCTCTGATAAGCTCCAAGACTTACATTCCAGTAAGGAGCCTTGCCCTTCTGCTCGTGCTCAGGATGAGATGCAGCTAGGTGGGGAGGCTGGGTTGGACTCAGAGGATGCACAGCTGGCGGAAATGAGAGACGCCCGGAAACGAAAACAAGCTAGGAGAGTAAACCAGAGAGAGGCAATGGGGCGACTCCGGAGAAGGCATTGAGAAGCCACACCTTGAGGACTGAATTACAAAAGGGGAATTCGTTTGCTGGAAATTAATAAAGCATCTTAAGTATTGCTCAAGTACTGAGTTCAAGCATTCTGAGTGGCCATTACATTGAGGATGATGACTAGATCATAGTCCCTGAGTGGTTCCTAAGAGGGATAAAAATTCCTTCCAAAATGCTGATGTAAATTGCACTCTCCTATAAGATATGATGTGTTGGGGTGCCCCATGCAGTCTGTAAATATGCTGCACGAAAAGCTTCGCTAAGGTTTTTGCGGTGGGAAACTTTTGGCAAGGGATAAAGTGTACCTGTTTGGAAAACAAGTCCGTAACCATCCAGATGACAGTGTTTCCATTGCTTTCTGGTAATTCCACTATAAAATCCATGGTTATTTCCTTCCAGGGGGCTGAGGGATTTGCCACTGGTTGTAGCAGTCCGGGCGATTTTCTTTGCAACCTCTTAGCAGCTGCGCAAGTTGGGCAACTGGCCATGTAACTTTCTATGTCCTTTTTCATGGATGGCCACCAAAATTGCCTTTTAATCAAATGTAACATTTTTACAAATGTAAAATGCCCTGCTGATTTTGTGTCATGGCATAAATGGGTGGGTGGTATATATAACTTTTCCCTCAACCATGGCAGTCCATCCTTGATTGTGCACATGTCTATTTTTCTGGAACCATTCATCTGTTTCCAAAATTTTCCGGAATTCGATTCCAGTTTGGCTACCCAGCTGCAGCTTTAATTTAGCTTGGGCTCTGGTGGTTACTGGCACTGCCAGTTGTGGTTCCGCCATACAGTACCAGTAGAAATCTTCAGGTCTTTAGGGCAGTTCCTAATTCCTTCCTCCATGAGATGGACAGTGTGACCAATATTAACCTGATAATTAGTTATAAAAGTGCAATCCGGGTCAACAATAGAACATAAATAGTTGGAAGGGAGCTTGAGGTCTTCTAGTCCAATCCTCTGCTCATGCAAGAGACCCTATACTATTTCAAACAGCTACTGACCAGTCGTTTGTTAAAAACCTCCATTGATGAAGCACCTATTACTTCTGAAGGCAAATTGTTCCACTGGTTGTTCTCACTGTTAAGAAGTTTCTCCTTAATTCCAGGTTACTTCTCTCCTTGGTTAGTTTCCATCCACTGTTTCTTGTCTTGCCTTCTGGTGCTTTGGAAAATAAGTTGACCCCCTTTTCTTTGTGGCAGCCCCTCAAATACTGGAATATTGCTATCAGATCACCCTTAGTGCTCCTTTTCTCTAGACTAGCTATACGCAATTCCTGCAACTGTCAATGTTTTTGTCTCCAGACCTTTAATCATTTTAGTTGCTCTTCTTTGCACTTTTTCCAAAGTCTCAATATCTTTTTTGTAATGTGATGACCAAAACTGGCTGCAGTATTCCAGATGTGGTCTTACTAAAGATTTATAAAGCGGTACTAATACTTTACATGATTTTGATCCTCTCTCTCTGTTTATACAACCAAGGTTGGGTGCTGTCACACACTGCTGGCTCCTATTTCAGTGGTTATCCACTGAAATAGGGTGCTGTCACACACTGCTGGCTTTTTTTGGGTGCTGTCACACACTGCTGGCTCCTATTTCAGTGGTTATCCATTAGAACTCCAAGGTCCCCCTTACAATTATTGCTATTGAGCCAAGTTTCACCTAGTCAGTATCTGTACATTTGGTTTTTCTTGCCTAAGTATAAAACCTTGCTTTTCTCTACACTGGATTTCATTTTGTTAGATAGGGGCCAGTATTCCAGTATATTGAGATCTTTCTGGATCTTGAATCTATCTTCTGGGGTGTTGACTATTTCTGTCAGCCTGTGCCGTTGGCAAATTTAAAGTGTTCCCCTTCTATTCCCTCGCTTTTGGAGATGTTGAAGAGTACTGGGTCTAAAACAGAACCTTGGGATACCTGCTGCTTACTTCTCTCCATGCAGATTGAGGATTACACTTTGAGTGCAGTTTGTCAGGCAGTTATAAATTCATGTGTTGGTGATGGTGCTCTCTATCCCACATTTTTCTAGCTTATCAAGAGGTATGTTGTAGTCTACTTTGTCAAATGCCATACTAAAATCCAAGTATACTATGTCCACAGTATTTCACTGGTCCATTAATTTAGTCACTTTGTCAAAAAATAAAATATGATTTGTTTGGCATGATCCGTTTTTGACAAACCCATGTTGGCTTCTGCTTGCTTGCTTCTAGATTTTTTGCAGATTTGGTACTTATCTTTTCCAGGATCTTCTCAGGAACTAATACCAGGCTAATTAATCTAGTTTCCTGGATCTGTCCCCCCCCCTTTTTTTTTTTTGAAGGGAATCACATCCTCTGCATAGTTCCTTGGTTCTCCTAGATCAGACATGTCAAACTTGCAACATCACATGATGTCGTGCAATGTATCAGGATGGTTTTGCCATTGCCGGCAATGGGGTGGGCGCGGCTTCCGGACACGTCCAGCCCGCGGGCTGGCAGTTTGACACCCATCCTAGATCTTTGAAAGATATGGTTCAACGATTCTGAGATCATGGCTGCCAGCTCCTTCGGAACTCTGGGATGTAATCTATCATGAATCTATTTGAATTTGTCTAGAGCGGACAGGTGTTCTCTTACCATTTTATTGCCTAATTTAATTAGTATTCCTAGTCTTTTACAATTCTGTTTCTGGTAGGTTGGGCTATTTTTTCTTCTTGCATGAAGACAGATGCAAAGAAAGAATTAAGCAGTTCTGCTTTCTCTTTGTTGCGAGTCACTTCCTTACCATTGTCACCCATTAGTGGACCAATTGTTTCCTTGACTTTTTCTTGTTTTTATACGGTAAAAGAAACTTTTTTAAAAATTATTTTTGACATTTGTTGCAAGTTCATTTGAGCCTTAACTTTCCGCACTTTATCTTTGCAGATTTGGGCTATATGCTGGTATTCTGCCTGACCAATGTGTCTCTCTTTCCATTTTTTATACTTATCCTTTTTGTCTTTCAGTTTATCTGGTTTCTTTTTCAATGGTATTATGCTGGACTGGGTTTTCACCCATGGAATTCTTCCCAAACTCTATGTTTGTTGAAATCAGTTATTTTAAAGTCTAAGACACTGGTTTGATTATGTTCCATTTCTTGTGTCTGTATTATATTAAAGTCTAATATGATATGGTCATTCTCCCCCAAAGTTCCTTCAACTTCAACCCCCTCTATCATTTCTTCTGTTAGTAAGAATTAGGTCCAGTATAGCTGTCCTTCTAGTTCCCCCCTCTACCTTTCAGATTACAAAGTTGTCAGCAACTTTGTTAGTAAGGAACCACCCGTCACTTGATGCAGGGTTTGTCTCCCAGTTGATGTCAAAGTCCCTCATTACTACGTGGTGTGTTTCCTACATACATTTGTTAACTAGCAAAAAATTCACCTACCCATTCCAGACCTCTTCTTCAATTCATTTAAAGACACGGTACATTCCCCCACCCCCACGATCTGCGCTACTGTGTCCTTTCTTGCTGAAAATGACACTGATTCGTAGCTAAATTACAATTAGCAGAGGCAGAACTTCTTAACCTACACAAATGAATTGGGCAAGACATACAGAACGTTCTAAGAGTGCAGCAAAAGGCAAAAACCTATTAAGTCATGTACTGCTCAAAGTAGTGGTAATTTAAATACACGGAGAAGTCATGGCCAATATACCAACAAGGCCTTTAGGTCACCGATACGATGATATAGCGAATAGTTTGCAATTGCGTAAGAGTCGCAGCCGAGCGCCCATGCCACGCGAACACGCCAGCCGAACAGTTCTGCGCCATGCTTCATTGTACTTCCTCCGCCCCTCCCCCTTTCCGTTGTGACGACAGGCATTCGACGCCAGCGACTAACGAATTTGTTGGCGTCCGCGTGCGAAAAAGTGGAGGGGAGAGCGGGAACTTACCCAGTCCCGCAGGATTTGTTGGCATGCGGGGATGCGGCGCCGAGGATTGCGGAGAAGGCATGACTTCTCCTCTGCATACTGGAGTTTCTGTGTTCCCTGGGTCGCTCTGGCATTGTCCATATTGCAGGGATTTCCCTTAGGTAAAAGAGCGCGTACTTCAATAATTAGGAGGAAGGGTAGGGTAGGCTTCCCAGCTCGACCCCCTTGAGACCATAATGTGCCTCCTGTCTTCCTCCTGGCATATTGGTAGCGTAATTCGCGAGGAAAGTCCCCGGTGATACTGCATGTTTGATTGGTTTGATCGTCTATGGTTGCCGGACGGAGGAGTATAACTAGCAAGCAAACCCATAGTAATGATTCGCATAGGAAAGCCTACAAGCCAGTGTTTGGAGCTGGGCAGTTGGCATTCTGTCTTCCAATCCATGCTTCCTGGGCTAGTAATGTATGGTCTCCCTATGAATAACCCAGTTTGCCATTTTTTTTTATTTTTATTTTGCTTTCTGGAGAATTTTGTGTTTGGTTCCTGTATAGATTTTACCTTTCAATCTTCTGAAAGCCTTCTGAAGTTATTTTTGGGGAACTAGGTAGGATGCTTCCTATGTAAATTGCTCTCACCCAGTTGAATATATAAAGTGCTAAATCCCAGGTGCTTCACCAATAGACTTCTTGAGTCTGACAATTCTGTTATTTCATATTTTAAAAATAATCATGTGGATTAATGATCATGAAGAAACTTAAAATGTTTTTGGGCACAAGTCACACAGTTCCTCACAGTGATTATTGATTTTGAATTATTTTAAACCTTCAAAACTTTTAAATCAAAGATTTATGCAATGTTTTGAGAAACTGATGGACTAGAGACTGGAGAAATGCTAGTGGCCTGCTCACTGATGAATCCTTATTTGTTGTGGCACCTATTTTGGGATTGGCAAAATAACCTTTTGGGAAACTGATTGATCCACTTCTATAATGTACTTGTCATAGTATTGTAATACCTATGTTTGTGATAGAAGTATGTAACAATGGATTTATCTGCCTGCCAAAAATATCTCCATATATTTCTACTAACTGGAAAGGTATAGTACTGTCTTCTCTGGCAAACATTGGATAATATTGATGAATTCTCATTGTTACATTAAATTTTCCCAATGCCTATTAGGTTTCACATAATTAAAAGGAATGATTTCAATGTTATATATCTATTCTCCCTTCCTCCCACCAAAAATTAATGTGTCAGGAAAAGGTACAAAATATCTTAAAATAAATTTCAGTCCCAGAATTCATTTGGGTACTAGATATAAGCATATAGACTTTTCATCGCTTCTTAGTTTTCTGTTCAACTTTCCTTTGTTTCAGCAAATCAGTTTTGGGAATGTGTGTTAGTTGTCACAGTTACTTTGTTCAGTGATAAATCACCTTGATTATATATATTATCCTAAGGTTGACTACCTAAGCAATTTTCAGGCTCAAAGAAGATCTGCTTAGGTAGTCAACCTTAGGATAATATATATAATCAAGGTTTGGATGATGCACAAATTTGTGAATCATTAGAAATCTATGATAAACCATAGATAAACGTTTTATAATATTGCTTCCCTTAAGCCAGGGTTAGGCAACCTTGGCTCTTTTATGACTTGTGGACTTCAACTCCCAGAATTCCTGAGTCAGCATGGCTAGTTTAGGAATTCTGGGTATTGAAGTCCACAAGTCATAAAAGAGCCAAAGTTGCCTACCCCTGCCATAATTCAAGCTGTATTATGTATTTGTATATCCCATTTTATATGTGACTTAGCACATGTTAACTATATTGATTGGACTAAAATTTTAAAATAAAAGCTAGTTTGTCTCCCTTTGGTCATTTTTTACTATCTTCAAAATCTTCAAGCATCAAGGTCTCCTCTGCTTATTCTTGACTACATAAAATCTTACAATGTTCATATAATGTTCAAATGTTTAAGCTTTAGATTATTATACAACTGCAAACTATTTGCATTACATGTTGGTGACCTAAATTAGATTATCTAATAATCTAAAGCTTAAATATTTGAATATTATTTATGAACATTATAAGATTTTATGAAGTCCAGAATAATCAAAGGAGACCCTGATGCTTGAAGATCCTGAAGATAATAAAAAAGGCAAAAGATGATAAACTGGTTATCACAAGCATGAACTTACAACTACTGAAATAATTACATTCTAGAAAAGAACAAATTATACTTTGTACAGACCTTAGAAAAGAAAAGCTAATGCCTTTGAATTGGAGTGCTGGAAAAACCACACCTCTGGCTACAGGAATAATTAATAAGTAAAGTAAAATCAGACTGCTATCAGAAGTATCTGATTTTACTTTACTTAGTAATTAATTATTCCTGTAGCCAGAGATGTGGTTTTTCCAGCACCCCAGTTCAAAGGCATCAGCTTTTCTTTGTTCTTTCCGATGATCTATCTTTTATGGAAAACTTATATCTTTGACAATGCATAAAGTGTAAACTTTAATATTTTATCTATATTTGTCATTGTAGTTCTCCCATTATTAGACAAGTAGTTTCTTTTTACTCCATTGAGCATTGCCATTTTATCTATACCTGGCTTGCAAACTGTATGTAATTTTATCTGACTTTAATTGCATCACCTTATAAGATTATAAATAGTCTTGCCCCTATTTTCCTAACTCTTCCACCTTTATTGTTAGCAGTGTTTTCTAGAATCCCCTTACTTTCAGTTTGCAGAATGTCTGGCTCTAGTTTGGTGACCAAACTTTCAAACTTTTAACTGGCCCAGCTTATTTGAAGGACTTTAAATATGGAATGGAAAGAAGACCAGTCTTTAGGACGTAATCCCAAGCATAAACCTGAAGACAACCAATTAAATAGTGCGAAAGAAGGGGAACTCGGATATAAAATATGATACATAGAAAGCAAAGGGACAGTTAAAAAGTATGTGAAACATAGAATAACAAAATTATAAGGGACCTTAAAAGTCTTCTACTCCAGTGCTTTTCAATATTTTCACAGATTGTACCACTTTTAGGACATGACAATGCTTAGCAAGGAGTTAAAAACTTGATGACTAAAAAAAGGGGGGGAAAGTATCAGTTTTAATTTCTTCCATGACCGTTTCTTTGCTGAACTAACCACTTTTGCTTTGCACTGACAAACGTATTATGAATTTATGCATACTTATTAATATGCACCACTACTTTGGTGGTCAGGTGGCTGGCTGGCCCTTTTCTCCTTCTCTCTCTCTCTCTCTCTCTCTCTCTCTCTCTCTCTCTCTCTCTCTCTCTCTCTCTCTCTCTCTCTCTCTCTCTCACACACACACACACACACACACACACACACACAGCCTACTCCATTGATCTCTCTGCTTCTCTCACAGAAACCTTTCCTCCTCTTCTTCTCTCTTTCTTCTCACTGCTTCTCTCACAGAAGCCTCTTCTCCTTCTCTCTTTCTGTTGCTGTCTGTTGCTCCCAGTGATAGCAGAGGCTGCTGGAATTGCCCTCAGCAGAGCCCGAGCAACACTGCAGCTCCAGCTGACTCTCCCCCAGGTCTCTCTGGTGCTGTTGCCATTTCAGCTCATTGGTTCTGCCACCACTTCAGCTCTCACACACACCCGCTACACTTGTCTAGGTCATGTACCACCTGCCAGGTGCCGAAGTATCACCACTGGTCAGCGTACCACAGGTTGAAAAGCTCCTGCTCAAGCAGGAGACCCTATACCATTTCAGACAAGTGGCTGTCCATTCTCTTCTTTAAAGCCTGCACCTTTGGGGCGCCCATAACTTCTGAAGGCAAGGCACTCCACTGGTTAACTGTTCTCACTTTTAGGAAATTTCTCCTTAGTTCTAGATTGCTTCTCTCCTTGATTAGTTTCTATCTATTGTTTCTTTTCTTACCTTCTGGTGCTTTGGAAAATAGGTTGACCTCTTCTTCTTAGTGGTACTCCTCAAATATTGGAACACTGTTATCATGTCTTCCCTAGTCCTAGTCCTAGTTCACTAGATTAGACATAGCCAGTTCCTGCAAATGTTCTTCATAAGTTTTAGCATCCAGTCTTCCAATCACCCTTGTTCTTCTCTGAATTCTTTCCAGTGTTCTAATATCTTTTTTATATTGCGATGACCAAAATTGGATGCAGCATTCTAAGTTTGGTCTTATTAAAGCTTTGTAAAGCAGTATTAATGCTTCATGTGATCTTGATTATATCCTTCTAATGAAGCCAAGGATTGCATTGACTTTTTTGGCTGCTGCCATACACTTTTGGTTTATAATTAAGTAATTGCCACTAGGTTTCCAAGATCCCTCTCATGTTACTGGTACAGAGCCAAGCTTAATCTGAACGTGTACAAAAGTTTTTTCTTACCTAGGTGTAAAGTCTTACTTTTATCCAGTTTGAATTTCATTTTATTACATAGGGCCCAGTATTCCAGTCTGTTGAGATCCTTCTGAATCTTGAGCCTTTCTTCTGGGATGTTGGCTATTCCTACTAGCTTAGTATCATCTGCAGATTTGATGAATTCCCCTTCTATTCCCACATTTATGCAGACAGTGAAGAATACTGGGCCTAAAATGGAACCCTGGCATACCTCATTGCCCACCTCCCTCCATGTGCATCTAGTTCCGTTAAGGATTACATGTGGAGTATGGTTTTTCAGCCAGTTACAAATCCAACTGATGATGGTGCTCTCTAACCCACATTTTTCTAGCTGTCCATGAAGTAGGTTGTGATCTATTTTGTCAAATGCCTTGCTAAAATCTAAGTATATTATGTCCACAGTATTTCACCGGTCCATTTAGTCACTTGGTCAAAGAATAAAATAAGATTTGTTTGGCTTGATTTTTTTTTGACAAATCTGTGTCCACTTTTGTTTATAACTTTGTTTGCTTCTAAGTGTTTGCAGATTTGTTGCTTGATTATCTTTTCCAAGACTTTTTGATTAGTTTGTAGTTTCCTAGATCCATTTTTTTCCTTTTGGGAAGATGGGAATCACATCAGCTTTTTTCCAGTCCTCAGATAGTTCCTCGGTGCTCTAAGAACTTCGATAGATATAGATCAATGGTTCAGAGATCATGTCTGTCAGTTCTCTCAGATCTCTGGGATGTAATCCATCAGGACCCAATGATTTGAATTCATCTA